TTTTTTGGCCTACCCTCCTACCCCTAACCCCCCACCCCCCCTACCCCCCCCCTCCCTCCTCCTCCTCCCCATCCACGTCATCACCTGCATGCACTGCTGCTGCCCGAGCTGAGACATCGGAAACACCGGGTTGCCGAAGTTCGCCACCGGCCCGTCACCGGGAGGATGCATGAACGAGCTGGACGCCGCTCCCAGCTGGGAGAACATGGCTGAGTTTGCGCCCTGCCCGGGCACGTTCTGCCAGGAGACTTTGTGTATCCTCAGAGCACCGGAGATGTCGTTGCTGGTCTGCGGGGAGGGTAATGAGGAAGAGCTGGACGAGGACGGGACAGTCTTCACCTGCAGGACGACCGAGGGAGAGTTGGTCGAAGGCATCGGCATGCCGACTACGGTGCTCGGCTGGGCGCTAGAGCAGTCCTTGCCCGCCATGCCCATGGCTTGCATGCCCTTAGAGCACATCTGGCGGGGGACAAGTGAGGAGATTGCGGTACGTGGAGCGAGTTAACGAACCTGGTTCTCAAAGCTCTGTATCTTGCTCTGGAGCATCTGGTCGGCAGCGGGAGCGTACAGACTTGAGAACGTCTCCCCGCTGTCATAGCAAAATTTCCTTGCAAGCCAAAGTCAGGACCCGGAGCCCCCAGCCCTTCACCAGCACTCACTTGCTGTGCAGCGGAGGAGTAAGGGGGAGCTCGTCGTAGGACGGGGTGAAGTTAGGCTTCGTTTGCGAGCTCTCTTCCATCATGACCGCCATTGCAGGGTGCGCTTCATCCTCTGTATGAACGCTCAGCAACCGAGAAACGATGCACGGCTCCTCCCTCACCTTGATCTAGCTCATCGCTCTTCTCGGGCAGCCCGAGGTCGGCAAGCGTCTTTCCTACCCCCAGCATTCAGCACAGACTCGCTCCTCGCCCACCAGCTCACCGTGCCGGTTGAGTTTCTTCATGTACTTCTGCGCGTGTGATCTGACCTGTGGGAGGAGCGCGTCACGAAAGGAGGCCAGCAAGACAAGCTACCAACCTGAGTCGTGCTCCTCGTTCCCACGTAGGCTGCGATCGCCTTGATGTTCTTGTGCCCATACTTCTTCAAACCCACCAGGAACCGCCTGTGCTCCTCCGGCAGCCAGTACCTCCCTTGTACTTGCTACAGGGGACGTGGTCAGTTGAGGGTAAAGCAAGTGAATGAGGAGAACCTCGGCATCCGCTTGTATCATCTCCTTGTTGAGCTCCTTCTTAAGCATAGCAACCTGTTGTGCAAGCAGAGGTGAGAATCGCAAGAAAGGAGAGAAGGAGGCGGGGCAAGTACCTGTGCCTGAACATCTTTGAGTTCCATCGATAAGCGCTGATTTTCTTGGACGAGCATTGCGCTCCTCATCGGGTTCATAATAAGGGCTAGGAGAAAGAATCGAAGTCGTCCCAATCGTTTTGTAGAGTTGGGCGTAAAGGTCCGTCAGAAAGTAGTCCAGTCTGTCTCTTGACCTGCCTGAGCTCAATTTCAATCAAACGTAAAAGCTCGAGTGTTGAAAAGAAGCCATTCCATTCTCAATCTACAGATGCATCATAACTGAACAAGAGAAAATATCCTAGCGCAGTCATAGCTCATTCTTTCCAAGATACATCTCTGTCTCCCTGGTATGACATCTGTTTCGAAAAGTGCTCACAGCAACATGTGTAGATATAACTTCTTGCAGTTCACCCATAAACGCCCTCCTGCCATCTCAAAACACCACCCTATCTCCCTTCAAGCATCCTTGCCTCTCAAAATCATCACACCACTGCTCCTGCTGTCGCTCCCACTCAAGCTGCATTGTTCGCGTTCAAGCACTCTACGGCATCTTGGTTGCATTCCGTGAGTGAAGTGAAAGGGACAGAGACACTTTTATATCTGCATTGAGGGTAGGGTACTTGACACTACCCCAGTCTTCATATCTGGGAGAACGTTGAAAGGGTGGGTAGTCACAGGGTCAGTTCTGACATGAGGGGTAGTCGTACTTTCATCCTGTGCTGACTGAGATGTCACATGGCACAGGTATTCTCGAGATTGGGACAAAACATTAAAACATTTATCTATCAAACGATGTGGTCTTGGGGCCAGTTCATCCATGAAAAGAATCTTTTTCCTTTAAAGGTGACATGAGCTAAACCTATTTTTATAAAAGGGAAGGCGCAGGCAGATAGAATATCGCTCAGTGGGGTCATTGGTGGGGGCCCTGATGATTTGGTAGGTATATAACACTGGAAAAGGGGGTAGGGGTTAAATGGTATGAGACTAATGATGGTGGGGTCACATTTTTTTTCTGGGTATGGTCTTAAGGGCCCTCGTGATCAGATATAAGTTCTTTAAATTTATTTAAAGACCAGGGGGTGCTGCAGATTTAGGGTCATGGAGCTAGAATTGCCACCACAAAACAACTATCTACTTAGACAATGAATATAAAGAATCATATTTCGTCAATTATTTGAAACTTGCGCCTACCCTTTACGAAGGTCCGTCATCGTGCCATGATGGGTCCGTGGTCACGTGCACATCACGTCAGGTGGTATCATGTATGATGACAACTTCTTGTCGATTCCGCAACGAAATCACAGTATTTCGCTTTGAGACTCCGGAGAGTTGGTTCACCGCACGATATCCGCAATCTTGGGGCAAGTTCTACCTCACCCTGGCACCCTGCATCCGTTTTGTTAATTTGCAAAATTTCCCTTCAATATTCAAATTATTTACAAACAGTTGCAACCTCTATTTCAAATTAACTCAGAGAATTTCGAAAGACAAACAACAACCCCCCCCGATCTCTTGCTAACTGTCACTGATTACTTTGCTGACAACCAAGAGATCTGTGAAAGCATCGTTTCAAATCTCCTTTTATAGCCTTGGCTTCGTGCTCCGGGGCCGGGCCCGGTCCCGCTCGGACGGACTCAGTCCTCAGCCGAGGCCCTCAGGAGTCACCTCACTGCCGCCGTGAGCCCGGCTGCTCCGACTGAGCGGCTCGCCGGATCCGATCATGGCATCGGCGGCGATGATGAGGGGTCACTGGCGAGTCACTGGCCTGAGGGCGCGGCCCGGCCCGGCGGCCCGGTCCGTCACTCGGACCGTGACGGCCCGGGCTCAGCAGGCCGAGTCGCCACACTGGCACTTAGTTGAACTCAAACGCGTACGGTAGTAGCGGCCCGGCCGCCGCGCTTCCGGGTGGCGGCACCCCGGTGACGACGGTCCCGGCGGCGGCCAGCCTAGGAGGCACCCCCGGACCGCCGCCGGGCCGGGCCGGGCCGCGCCCGGCGGCCGGAGTGACGCCCGCCCGCCGGTTGCCCGGCAGTTGCTACTACGGCCTGTGACTCATCACTTGCCAGTATCCGTTCGGAGGATCCGTGAGAGTATCCGTGAGTATCCGCGAAGGAGAAGGCTGAAAAATGCGAAACAAATTCCCTACTCTACCCACCCTTCTCTTCTGCTACCCACCAGTATTTAATCACTCATTTACATATACAAAGTACCGGTCCAATCGATTTCTATTACGAATGGTACCCACCCCAAATTGAGCAGAACCCTATTCTATGACCTCACCCCCGGGCTATTCGGTACTTTGGTAGGTGGGGGTACTATGATTCGATAGGGTAGTTTTCTAGGGACGGGAGGGGGTGTTTAAAAACTTGGGGTTATAGGCAGAGGAAAGGCGTCAGAAAGCAGTTCGCCATGCTCAGGGCCGTCCTTCTCCTCGCCGCCGCCGGCGTCTCTGCCGCCTTCGCCCCTGCTGCCCTCCCAGTCAATGCAGGATCCAGAGGTAGGATACCTTGTGGGATGAACGGGCCTGTCCCACGAGTGTGTCTTGGATGCTGACAAGCGATCTCTGTTGGTTAATGTGACGGGGTGTGGGAGGGTCTGCCAAGGGATCGACCCGAGCAGCCATTGATGGTTGGGATGGATGATTGAAAAATGATCGAATCAGATCATCCCTGTGATGTTGCTGTATCTTGTTGCGAGATCTCTCCGACCCGTCAATCTGTGAGGAAGGAGAAGACCCTGGTTCTGATTTCTCCCGACAGCTGCCATCGCTCGTGGACCCCGCATGCAGCAGATGTCTGAGGCTATCCCATTCTTGGAGAAGCCCAAGAAGCTCGACTCCAGCATGCCAGGTGATCCCAGAGATCCGATTGCAATCTTGCTCGACGGCAGAATGATGCTGGTGCAACAGGATACGCTGGATTTGATCCCCTCGGCTTCTCTGACTATTACGATGTCAAGTGGCTCCAGGAGGCCGAGATCAAGCACGGACGCATCTGCATGCTTGCCGTCGTTGGCATGGTGATGAATGCTGGCCGACTTGCTGCTCTGACGGGGGCTGACGCTGTGACAGTTCCACCCTGAAATCGCTAAGCTCCCCCAGTTCGCTTCCTTCTCTACCAACCCCCTTGAGGCCTTCTATCAGCTCTCCTTTGCTGGATGGCTCCAGGTAGATGAAGCGAGCCGGTAAGGTCAGTGCCTTGCTCACGAGACTGCTCAGATCTTCGTCTTCATCGGCATCTGCGAGTCCTTCTCCTTCGAGAAGGTCTACTACACCGACAAGGCCCCTGGCGACCTCGGGTTTGATCCCCTCCGCCTCGGATCCAACCCCGCTTCCCGCAAGTACTATGCTGTGAGTGTTTCTAGCTCGTTCTCCTGCCTTCCTCCTCACTCTCTAGCAGAACGCTGAGGTCAAGAACGGACGCCTTGCCATGATCGGATTCGGAGGAATGCTTCACCACGCTCTCTTGACCAAGATGGGACCCTTCCAGCAGATTGCTGAGCAGAAATTCGTGAGTTTGCGCTTTCCCTGTGCTGGGCTAGGTCTAAGACGTATCTGCAGTACCCCACCGGATTCGCCGGTGGCTTCTAAGCGGTTGACTTGTCTTTGGGGATGTCCTGAGCTCCGGAGATTCTGCGTGTAGCTTGTGTGTGATTCTTTGTCTGATGTGATATGTACAATACATGCAGAACTTCGAGCAGAATCTTATGTTCCTCTGTGCTATCAAACATATCATTGCTTGCTACTTCGTCGAAGCGGCTTGCACTTGACAGTCAGGGCGTGATGGGCTGCAGGCCTTGAAGCAGACCGTTAGCATTTCACCATGTCGGCCAAAACCGTCTCACCTGACATAGATCTCGCAGGAGGAGAGTGTCTTGCATTGGATTCTTGCACTCTCGCACTCACCTCGTCTTCGATCATCTGCCTTCCACGTCAGCACCTCCAGAGCTCGCAGCATCCCGAAGTTGCACTCCTGCCCCACCTTCCTGATCTCCGTGGAGGTCATGGAGTGCAGGCACCTCTCATAATCGAAATCGAAGGTCTTGAGGTTCATGTCAGGAATTTTCCTCCGATCCCCCGCAGCCTCACCTTGTCGCAGTCAGGCTCGCAGTTGGGGTCGTGCAGCTCTTGAAAAAATGGATGTTGGAGAGCCTGTCGAGACGAGCGAGTGAGAGAGGAGGAGGGCAGAAGGAGGAATCTTGCTGGATCTCTTGGAAAGGAGGAGGTTGTTTTCTGAGCGGGGGAGGTGGGGGGCGAGGGGGAAGGGGCGCGGAGGAGGTATGGGGGAGAAAGTGGGGACATATGAAGGGAAGGAGAGGGAGAGGGAGAGGGAGAGGGAGAGGGAGAGGGAGAGGGAGAGGAAGGGAGAAAGGGAGAGGGAGAGGGAGTGTGGCTTACAACGCCAGCCTTGGCCCTCTTCTTAGGGTTGAACTGAAGGAGCTGATGCAACAAGTCGATGGCCTCCTCGCTAGGGACGTGAGAGGACCAGTCAAACTTCTTGTTGACCTCGACGACTGCAGCACTGTCAGCGTCCCAACATCAGCCCCCCGCCTCCTCCCACCCGACAGGAAGCGCACTGCGTTTTCGCACAGGTGTTCTTGATCCTCCCGGCTGGGTAAGCCAATCTTGCTGATCTGCAGCTTGATCATCCCAACATAGTCGTCCCCTGCCATCATCGCCAGTGTCAGGATGCTCGTGACTTGTTCATTCAAGTGTCGACCAGGGAAGGCGGGCTTCCTCAAGAAAAGCTCAGCCATGATGCAACCGACCTGCTCTATGGGTGAGCAGGCAATGAGATAGAAGTGCATGTCTTTTGTAGCAAGCACGACAGGAGAAGGAAGCAGAGAAAGCGTGAGAGAAGGAGTAGGACGAGGAGGACGGGGATGGCAAAGAGGAGAACATGAAGGACGAGGAGGAAGAAAGAAAAGGAGCACGGAGGAAAGGAGAAAAGAGAGGGGGAAGAGATGGGCAGCTGGCAGGAGAAGTTTGGAGGAGGGTGCTCCCCCCAACTCACTGCCCAGACGTCGATCGAGAAATCGTAGTCGAGAGAGCAGAGCAGGAGCTCAGGAGCTCGGTACCTTGAAACAAGGAGGTCACGGAAAGGTCGGAGGGACGGAGAGGAACGGGGGCTACCATCTCGTGACCACCTTCACTGTCAGTCGCTCTCCAAGCTGCGAGTCCACTGGCGACCTTGCCATCCCCTGAGCACGGACGTCAGGAGGGAAGGAGAGCAGGATCCGAGCAGGTGTGAGAGCTCGTGGAGAAGCAATAGCCGAGCGAGGAAGAGAGGAGGGAGATGATAAAGGAAGGGAAGGAAGGGATGGGACAGAGGTGGGAGGAGGTGAAAGTGGGAGGAACCGGAGGAAGCGAAGGAAAGGAGGAGGGAGGAAGTGAAAGAGGGAGGAAGCGGAGGAGGGGAGAAAGCGTCACATCATCTGTCTTACAAGGTCACAGATCTTGACGTCGCAGGCTGAGTTGACAAGAATGTTTCCGGGCTTGAGGTCGCGATGCATTACTTTGGCCGAGTGAAGGAACTTGAGGCCACGTAGGATCTGATACACAAAGAACTGAATGTGCTGGACGGTCAGGGGCTGCTTTGAGTAGATGACTGAGTGAAGACTGGTGTCCATCAGCTCCGTTACAAAGTACAGGTGCTTGTCCTTCCCGTCAATGAAGACATCCACAAGGGAAACGATGTTGTCATGCCCGCTGAAGTGCTGCAGCATCTTCAGCTCTCGCAGGATCATCTTGGCAACGCTCTCCCTTATCTCCCCATCTGCATAGTCCTTGATCTTCTTGATCGCAACGGGCGAGCTGTCCTCGATGTTTCGTGCGGCGAACACTACCCCGTACTCTCCCTCCCCCACCACCCGATCGATCTCATACCTGCTCAACACGTAGGAGGAGACTATGAAGCCTCCAGCTTCACTCCGTGACATGCTAGACACTCAGCAAGGTTGATGGACACGCGAGTGGATGAAGAAAGGAGGCAAAAAGGCCAGAACAAGACACATGAACAAGAAGAGCCGTGTGAGAGAATCTCAGCCCTTCTGCGTCAGAATCTCTTCCATGATCTTCACAACGACGACGGATTCAGATAAAGAAGGAGTCAAATCAATCAATCTGATGTCGAGCTAGAACTTGCCCTCGTTGGCAAATCTGGCATAAACCACTTCGAACTTCTGATTGAACAAGGTCAGTGGTCAATCGAGAACATAGAACTGAAAGTTCCATCCAGCACAGTATCAGGCCAACTCGCCTTGTCTCGTGTCCTCACTCTGCATGTCTTGCTTCTAGTCCTTCTCCCTCCTCTCTCCATGGCGTGCTGTCTTTCTTTGACCTCCTCCCTTCTCCCGCTCCTACCGACTCTTTCGTTTGGATTGCATCACGCAGGACTTTTCTCAATAATTTAGAAATCCATGGTACAAACTATTGTACCAAAAACGAACTTTCCCACATTTTTTTGTACTGTAAATAAATGAATCCGTATCTAAAATCGATATAGAGCCTTCCTTATAAAGTCTTTTGTATTCTGTGATTCACTCTCTGGTAGTAGAATGTACTGCATCGTTAACTTAGAAGCTACCACAGTACCACCCTCAAAGTTAACACTGCAGCAATAGTAGTAAAAAAAATGCAACTTATAGCCCCCTTTTAACTTTGAGTAAATTGCCCGCCCCCGGGCAGCCCGGCCCGCCGTTCGGACTCCGGCGCGGCCGCCCGAGTATTTACTCAAAGTTAAGTTAAAATCAGTACGAGGACAATCAGGAGAGTCGAGGAGGCTTGACCCGACACTGTCGCACAGGCCAAACGGCGAGAAGAGAAAAGACAGCGAGAACCAAACCCACTGGCTTAACTGATACCTTCCCGGCTTAACTGCCGCAGTGCGCGCAGGACAAGTACGGTCCCCCGCTCCGCCATGCCAGCGATGTCGCCGCTGTGGCCGCCGGGGCGGCCGAAGGAACTTGAGACGCATACCGGGATGTCATCCGGGCGTGCCGCGGCCCGGCGGCCGGATAAGTTTTTAACTTAACTTTGAGTAAACTTTAAGTACCTTAAACGATAAGTTGGTTCTTCAAAGTTAACGGTTTGACTTAAAACTGTCACCGCCTTTCAAAAGCCTGTTTTATCCGAAGTTCTCGCCGTGAGTGGTCACTGCCACGGTTGCCCCACCGGCTACCGTAGTGACGGTGAGTGACTTCAAGTCAGGGTCAATACTACCGTAATCAAGAGGCCACGGTGCGTGACTCAGTGAGGTGAGTACGTGGCACTGCAGGAATTACTCAGGCCCTCACGGACTCCCCGCCTCCCGGTGACCCTTCGGGCCCGGGGGCCTGGCCCCCGGCCGGGGGCCCGGGCCGGGCCCGGCCCGGCGGGCCGGGTGGGTTGA